CAGTGGACCTAGAGCCCTTGGGGGCTCAAGCCAGCCAAGGTGGTGAGCAATGGATTATACTCATCCAGGGAACTTCGCTGCTTTAAACCAGAACTCTCTGGGCAAATCTTGTGATGGCCTGAAGCCTTCTGGTCCTTCTCCAATGGAGCAGATGCTCCATGTTTAGGAGCATCACTTTCACAGGGTGCCTTTGACCCCAGTCCGTGGGGTCACACATTCTTGTGTTCTCCAAAGGCTGTTTGGAGCCCTCAGGGTTGGGGAGGCTGACCGAAGTGGGGCAGTTCCCATGGTGGTGCTTCGTGCCAAGGTGTGCGGGGAGGGTGGGTGGGCTGGGAACTGGCTCTGCAGGCTGACACCCACCACCACCTCTCCCTGCTGAGGGTTTCGGATTTGCCTCTGCAGGGACCCTCCTGAACATCAGTGTGAGTGACCACGGCCGGTCAGACTCTCTCCTTCTGTCCTGGGATGAGCCAGAGGGAGGTGCCAAAGGATATTCGCTCTCCCTCTCCTCCCTGGGGTCAGGCACACCACTGCAGAACAGGACTGCTGGACCCAATACCACCAGCTTTTGGTTCCATGGGCTGACCCCTGGCACACGCTACGAGATCAAGGTGACAGCCACGCTGGCCTGCGCGGAGACCACCAGCCAGACTGTCACAGCACAGACAAGTAAGTGCTCCCAGGGACTGCAAAGGTCTCAGTGCATCTACCAGCAATCGTTGGGCTGCTTTGGAGGGTGTTGAGTCGAGGGCTGTGTGGAGTCCCATGTATTTGTGGGGAGGTCAGGCTTTTCCTCACTTCACAAGAACTAGGGTCCTTCCTTGGTCCCCAGAGCCCCAGAAGTCATTCTCATCCATTTGGAGGAAGGGTTCTGTCCCTGCACCTTGCATGGGCAGGGTTCATGTTGTTTTATCTTCTAGAATAATGTAGCTAATGATGGTCCAGCACGTGATATGGCCTGCAGAGGGCTGAGGGATGGAAAGTGCAGACCTGCAGAGGGCCTGGAGGTCTAGAAAGAGCTATGAGGAGGAAGCATCTGTTCCACAGTTTTGGCTCATCTCTGTCAGTCACTGCTCACCCCCCAAGTCTTGCTCTGCACCCTCCCTGGCTGATGCCAAGGACTGGGGAACGGGACAGGGATGGTGGCTCAGATGAGGATGGCAGCACTTGCCTGCACCTCTCCAGAAGATCCGTGTGTGCACCTTCCAGTGCAAGGTGGAAAACCTAGAACAGGAGAGTAGGGCTGGAGAGAGGGTACTGGCCAGAGGAAGGGCTGGTGTCAGGCAGCAGTGGTGGGAGCAAGAGCTAGTTCTCATGAGAAGGCATGTGGCAGGGCCCACAGGCCCATCAGGAACAGAGGACCTGTCGGCAGGTGAGCTCCCAGGTAAGCAATGATGGTTTCACCTTTGTGTGCTGGACCTGACCAAGCCTCCCTGTTCAGTTCAGAGTAACTGCTGAGGTTGATCCAAAGTGAGTGGTGCAGCCCACACAACCCATGGGAGGCTGGTGAGCGGTCAGGGAGGTGATGGGACTGTGCTTGGGGGACCCTAGCTGGAGCACCTCTGCTGTGGAGACAGGCTGAGAGATCTGGGGATCTTCAGTCTGGAGAAGAGAAGGCTCCAGGCTGGTCTTAGAGCTCCTTCTGGTACCTAAAGGGGGCTTGTAGGAAAGAGAGGGATTTGATGGAGTTGAACTAGATGATTCTTAAGGGTCCTTTCCAACTCTGATTATTCTGTGATTCTGTGACTTTTTAGATGGGCAGATAGTTGCAGGACAAGATAGAAGAGTTTTAAACTGACAAAGCAGAGGTTTAGATTAGATATTAGGAAGAAATTCTTTACTCAGAAGGTGCTGAGGCACTGGCACAAGTTGGCCAGAGCGCTGCCTCATCCCTCGAAGTGTTCAATACCAGGTTGCACAGGACTTGGAGCAACCTAGTGTAGTGGAAGGTGTCCCTGCTCATGGCGGGGGGTGGAAAAAGATGAGCTTTAAGGTCCCTTTGAACCCAAACTGATCTATGGTTCTATGATTAGGACCTATGGAGCTGGCTGGCAGGACCTCACCAGGTGAAGGCACTGTCCCTTCAGCCTGTGAGCAACCTGCCAGGTCAGGGATTCCCAGGCAACCAGCCCAGACCATGTGTGCTGTGTCCACACAGGTCCATCACCCGTCCGCAACCTGACGCTGAGCGGCGGCGGGGGCGAAGCCACTGCGCGCGGCCTGGGCGCACAGCCACGGCCAGCGCGATGGTTACCGCCTGGCCCTGTACCACAGTGACTCTCAGGTGCTGGTGAGGAACGTGTCCATCCTGCCCAGTGCCTCCACCTTCCTGTTCGACGGGCTGTTGGCTGGCAGCGAGTATGCCTTGAAGGTCAGCACCCTGGCTGGGTCCAGCCAGGCCAGCACCAGTATCCACCAGTGGACAGGTAGGGAGTGATGGGTGTGCCTGCCCAAGGAGCAAGGGATGGGTGAAAGGGTTTGGCATGAGGGATGCAGCACATGTGCTGGCTGGGCTGGCAGAGGTGGGGAGGGGATCTCCAGGCTCAGGATGGAAAGTTTGTGGAGGATGGGGAACAGCTGGAAGTGTTTCATGTCCCCACTGCAAGCCCACTGTCCAGGCCAAGGTGAAAGCCCAGTGCCTCGGGCCTGCCTTGCATCACCTGCAGCTCGGGTTTGTGTGTTCCCAAGGGAGAGAGGCAGTCTGGGGATCCTGGATCTCTTGGCTGGTGAGAGCTGCGGGAGTGCCACGTTACCCAGGCTGCCACCCGCTCTGCCCTGCATCCTGAAAGAGCATAACAGTGTGGAAGGACCTCAAGAGTCCTTCAGCTCACCTGGAAGAGGGCATAGCAGGAACATCCTTCAGCAGACCCCTGCTAGACCTTCAGTCTCTGTGCCATAGGGAGCAGCTGTGGGCATAGAGGGCCCTGGGAGAGAGGAGGATCCAGGGAGCCCTAGCTCCAGTGCTGAACCTCATTGCCTCCTGTTCTTCCCCTCAGCTCCCTCCATCCCCTCCCAGCTGAGGCTCAGCCCAGTCTCCAGCACCAGCCTCCTTGCCTCCTGGACAGGGGCTGCAGGGGCTGCCTGGCTGCACCTGGAGCTCCGCAACCTCCTCACCCAGACTGTCACCACGACCCTGTCAGCCAGGAGGGGCCTCACCAGCTACACCTTCCAGCATCTCCAGCCTGGCACCCAGTACTGGCTGGGGCTGAATGCCACAGCAGGGTCCTACACCATAGCAGGGCCCAATGCCACTGCCTGGACATGTGAGTATGATGGCCAGGGATGTGGGAGGACCTTGGTGGCCGTGTCTTTGTCCCTGCCTCTAGTCCAGCCTATGAATCCAAAGGTCTTCTGCCAGATCCTTGGGTGCACAGGGTGATTCTGCTTGGACCTGGCCAAAAGCTGCTCCAGAGCCTGGCTCTGGGGCACTACAGTAGTGAGGCCAGTGAATCCCTTCAGCAGGTGGATTCCCAGTGCTGGCCTGCTTCTCGCTGGGATGCAGTCAGACCAGCCTGTGGTGTCTTCCCAAGGGGAGTATGGAAGGGCAGCAGATCCCACTGGTGCTCTGTGCAGCTGGGATCAGGCAGGGAGAATAGTTTCAAACTAAAAGAGGAGAGATTTAGATTAGTTGTTAGGAAGAAATTCTTCCCTGTGAGGGTGGTGAGGCACTGGAACAGGTTGCCCAGAGAAGCTGTGGCTGCGCCATCCCTGGGAGTGTTTCAGGCCAGGTTGGACCGGGCTTGGAGCAACCTGAGCTAGTGGAAGGTGTCCCTGCCCATGGCAGGGGGTGAAATGAGATGAGCTTTAAGGTCCTTTTCAACCCAAACCATTCCATGATTCTAAAAAGTGGATTTTTTATGCTCTTTGTTTGCTGTCAAGGGCATGTTTTGGTAGCACATGATAACCTCATCCTGGTGGGTGTCCCTAACATACTAGATGCTGTGCTAAGACAGCCAAGGAAGCCAGGAGCCTTTGGCAGGTCAAAACTGAGGGCATCCCTCCCAGACCCTGCTATTGCACCATTCCCCCAGCCTCCTCCCCACTCTGGCCTCAGGCTGACAAGGGCCCTGAGAGAAGGGATCTTCCACCACCACACTGATACCATGTCCATAGCACTGTAAACAGTTCCATTCCTGGACTTGCTCTCCTAGATGTTCCCAGGAAAACCAGGGGGGAAATGGAGAGAGGAAACCCAGCCTTCTGGACAGAGGACACTCATGCCAACGCTAAGGAAGCGTTCGCCCTCAAATGATGGAGGTGCTAAGCCGCAGACTCAGAGCTGCTGTGGCCAGTGACTCATCTGGCCCTGGCCAGACAGTGGTCAGGTGTACACTGGGAGGATCTGGGTGCCACCAGGTGTCGAGTCTCCAGCTCTTTCCTGCTCCACTTGCCAGTCCAGGAAGCTGGAGCCTGCTCCCTGCTGACTGTAGCTGGGATTTTGGAAGGTGTCCACACCCCCAGCTGGTCTGTTTCTGCTGTGAAGTGAGTCTGATCCCTGCTGCTGCTGTCTGTGGCTCTGAGCTGTTCCATGGAACAAAATTCCCCAGTGCCAGAGGCACACACCAGAGGTGTCCAGCTAGGAGCTCGGTCCAGGCCAGTTCGTAGGAATATCATCAAGCTCATGGCAGGACATTAGTGGAATGTAGGGGGTCTTTGAGGAATTTCCCAGCAGGGCTGCCAGCTTTATCTGGACTCTACTAGTCCAGGAATGCTTGTGCTGGGGAGTGGAGATGGCACATTCCGAAAGGATGTCTAAGGCTGAGTGTAACCCTGCAGAGTGGCTCAGGGGAGTATGGGCTACAGAGCACCCCATGATCCTGAAACACACAACCCCGTTCTCTTCCAGACCCCCTGAGCCCTGGCAATGTGACCCTGAGCAGTGCAGAGGAGCAGAGCTCCTTGCAGGCTCGCTGGAGCATCCCAGGGGGATGGAGGGACTTCCACCTGGTGACACTGCAGGAGGGAGAGGATGGTGCTCCGACAAGGAACATCTCTGTCAGCGGTGACAGCAGTCACATCACCTTCCACGGGCTGAGCCCTGGGAAGCAGTACTCTGTCCAGGTGATGGTGGTGGCAGGGCCATACCGGGCAGCAGCCCACAGCACAGCAGCCTGGACAGGTGAGCAGACAGCCCCCAGTGTCCCTTGAGGTCGTTCCATTCCTGCAACCTGACAGAAGGGCTGGTGCCTGGAGGGAGGCTGGTCTTGGGGAGGGGGATTGCGGCAGGGATGGGGCTGTGCACCGTGTGGCACCTGGTCTCAAGAGCAAGTTGTGAGTCAGGAACTGTGTCCCCACAGTTCCTGGTGAGGGTCCTGGACAGGATGTATCAGTGAGTGTCAGGCACGAGTTGAGACCATGGTTTAGGGGTAACAGTGGTAGTGCTAGGCTGATGGTTGGACTTGATGATCTAAAAGGTCTCTTCCAACCTCGATTCTATGATTCTGTGAGACCAAACCCTACTCAGTACCCTCTGGCAGGTTCCAGCTTCCCATCCCTCCCCTCACCCCAGCTGGGTGGTTGGGGGCACCAGCAGCCAACAGTCCCCTGAAGCACCAACCCCCTCCTCAGAGCAGCATCTCCTCATACCCAGTCCCTCCTGGGTGACTCGTGAAGCCACAGTTGGTGCTGTCCCACAGCTGCCACCCTGGGAAGGGAGGACTGGAGCCAGAGAAAGTGTGGAGAGGTCCCACCCTGCCCGTGGTGCTGGAGGCTCCAAAGGCTGCCCGTGTATCGGATGGAGACAGCTGCAGTGTCACAGAATCACAGAATCATTCAGGTTGGAAGGGACCTCTGGAGATCATCTATTCGAACCCTCTTGCCACAACAAGGGCACCTAGAGCAATCTGAAAAGAAAACAAAAGTGTCCTGAAAGCAATCTGTCTGCATGAGGCACTGCCCCACACCATGACGTTCTTGTCCCTTGCAGAGCCACTGGCACCATCTGGTGTGAGCCTGTCCAGCCAGGGCAGCCCACACAGCCTACTGGCCAGCTGGGAGGAGGCGACAGGTGAGGGCTACCTGCTGGCCCTCAGCCCCATGGAGCACCCCATGAAGAACAGCTCACTGCTCAAGGGTGTCACCAGCTTCACCTATGAGGGCCTCCACCCTGGGACCCTCTACACCCTCGAGGTCAGCACTGTGGCTGGTCCCTACACATCCTCACCCCGGTGCATTTCCAACTGGACATGTGAGTGCCGCAGCCCCAGGTTCCCACTGAATCTTGCCCTTCCCTGTGATGTTGTGCCTCAGGGCATGTGACAGCATGGATCTTTTGCAGCTTCTTGCAATAAAAGGGCAAAAGGCTCGGGAAGAAGCAGAGGTACTGCTGGATGTGTCTGACTCTGCTCTGTCCCCCAGTCTCCTGGTGCAAGGGTCAGCAGAGCCCAGTGTCCTCCTCCTGCCTTCTTGGGCACTCTCCTGGCACTGCTCAAGCTGCCTTGAGCCACCTCTCCACCACCCACCACCTCCTCCAGCACCAGAGCAGTCCTCTCTCCATGCTAGTTCGAACTCTGTGCTGGTCTAGTCCCTACTGAACTGGTGTGTGGGTGTCAGCAGGGAACACATTAGGGTGTGGGTGACAGCGGGGAGTGGTCAAAGCACCTGGATGTGAGTTTTCCCAGGGAAGGGGCTCCTGCTCCAGCACATTTGGGGTTGCACTTCTGCCATGTGACTCTAGACCTTTCCTTTCTTAGACCCTTTGCCCCTGGAGCAGTTGACTCTCAGCAATGGTGGCCACAGCACCTCTCTGCAAGCCTCCTGGAGAGCAGCGTCCTCTGGAAGCACTGGCTACACAGGGACCCTCTGGGAAACCAAGTCCCAGAAGCAGATCAGGAATGTGACTGTGGGGAACAACTGGATGAATGTCACCTTGGAGGACCTTGTCCCTGGGCGACAGTATACACTGGAGATGTCTGCTATGGCTGGACCTTACAGATCTCGTGGGCAATCTGCCACAGACTGGACATGTGAGTGTGATAGTCCTACCTCATCCTACTGCAAATCTCAACCACAGCCTGCCCATGAGAGCAGAGCACTCCCTCCCTCCCTCCCCTAGCACCCGTGGAAGCAGAGGGTGGCCTGTATGTGGGGAGGTGGGGAACCAGGGACAGGGATGCACAGACAGTGAGAGAACAACCAGAGCCACATTCAGCCAGGTTGGAAGTATCAGGGTCTGCAGTGCAGAAGGAACCCGTCACTGAACAGAAAATGTTTCAAAATGTCACCCAGTGGGAGGGTGGAGACCCACTCCCCTGTTTGCTGTGGATCAGGAGCTCTGCCTGCTCTGGGATTTTATATACCAAGCCTGATTCCTGACCTGACACCACCAGGGAGAGGTGGCAGAGGGTGCCTGGGACAAGTGTGTGCAGCCCCTACTCCACACCACAACTGCCTCTCACTGCCTGGGTGTCTCTTCTCTCTCAGACCCCCTGGCTCCAGCCAGCGTGACACTGACCAACACTCGGCGCCCGCTGGGGCTCTCTGCCTTCTGGGACAAGGCTGCTGGTGATGTGGACCAGTTCCACCTCCAGCTCTATAGCAAGAGCCATGCAGCGCAGAGGAACATCTCAGTGGGGCCAACCACCCACAACTTCACATTCCTGGGGCTGTCCCCTGGCACTCAGTACTTCCTGAAGGTGACTGTTCTCGCTGGCCCATACAGATCCTCGTCACACTTTGCCACCGAATGGACATGTGAGTGAGAATCATCCCCAGCCACCTGCAGGGATGGGGCATCCTGGCACTGTCTGCAAGACAGGCAGTGACAAGGTAGTGTCCAGGTGGAGGAAGGACTCCAGTGACACCTGCATGCCTCCTGTCCTGGGAATCGAAGCAGTGTCATGCATTAGCTGCTGTGTGCTGGCTGCTGGGCCCCAAAAGTCCCTTTTCCCCAGCTCAGGCTTTCCCCAAACAAGCTGAACCTTCTGCCCAGACCGCTGGTGATCTCAAGGACAGCCAGGGACTGGTGGGAGAGGGATACAAGAGAGGAAGCACAGAGACCCATATGGACTTGCTGCTCCCTGTGCATGGAGCAGAGCTGCCCACTGGGAGCTGAGTGCTCTCTCTTTCTTGCTAGCAGCACCTTGGGTACATGTATGGTCAGCTTGCATGTCCCTCAGGAGAACAGGAGAACTGGCAGTCAGCTGCCACCACTTCTTCCTTAGCCCTGTTCAGAGGTGCAGGCTGTACCCTGGCTTCTCCAGGTGGCTCCTCCACCACCTCACAGATCTCCACACTGTGCTTCCCCTCCAGATCCACTGTCTCTGGCCAATGTGAGTGTCCAACCTGGCCGCACACCCCAGGAGCTGCATGTGAGCTGGGTGGAGTCCGGCGGTGGCAGAGACCACTTGGTGCAGCTCTCAGTGGCTGAGTCCCTGTCCATCATCAGGAATGTGTCTGTGCCCCGTGGAGTCACCCAGCTCGACCTGGAGGGGCTGGTGCCAGGGTCTCGGTACCGTGTGGAGATCATTTCTCAGGCTGGACCTCATCGCATCTCCTCTCAGACTGCCATCGGCTACACTGGTATCAAACACAGCTCCTCTGCTCCCTCCCCTAGCACCCAGCCTGGCTCTGACCTGGCTAGGGACTGGGCATCATGAGTTGGGTGCCAGGGCTGTTCTGCAGGAGAGCTCTGACACTGTCCCTGCAGCCCACTGGTGCCTACCTCCTGCTCAAGGTGCTGGCTCTCTTGTGGGATCCTCGCTCATCCTGAGCCTAGCAGCTTGGTGGGGCATGCTATGAGCCTTTGGAACAAGGGAAGCTCAGGCTGTGGTGGTAATGGACTGTGGTCACCTGGGACACAGGGAGCAGGCTTGATCTGGGAGCAGCTGCTGCTCTCAGCAGCCTTTAGACAGCGTGCTGGATGCCCACAGTCCCACAGATCTCAGCTTCATTCCCAAACTAGAGTCAGTCCTGAGCATTCCAGGGTTGTGCCCTGTGACACTGTTTCTCTCCCACAGTGCCACTGCCTCCTCGTTCCCTGTCTGCCAGCCCTGTCAGCACTGCTTGGGCTCTGGCTGTGCACTGGGAGACCGCTCCTGGGCAGAGGGATGGATACCTGCTCAACATCCTTGAAGAGGGCTCTTCTGCACCAGTAAGGAACTTGGAAACAGGGAAGGACAGCACCAATATCACTGTGACACAGCTGGAACCAGGAACATGCTACCTTCTTGGGATCTGGGCAGTGGCTGGACCCTACCGCTCCCTCCCCAAGAATGTCACCGGCTGCACAGGTCTGCATCCATGGCACCCATGGGTGATGTGTGTGTGAGCACTGTGAAGACCTTGGAGTGGGATGAGATCAATGTTGGCACCCAGGGAGGGGAGAGGAGAGGAGACAAGAGGAGGAGAGGGAAGGGGGAAGGGGAAGGGAGGGGACCCTGAGGTGCTGCTTGCCTGTGGTCACCTCCTGCCTTTCACAGCCTCCTTGAACCAAGCATGCTCAGAGCTGGATCTTTTTCTTTCCAACTGATGTGCCTGTTTTTCCTTACAGTTCCTGCTGCACCAATGAACCTGAGCCTTGCCAACCCAGGCAGCTCCTCAGAGCTTTTCACATCCTGGAACAAGCCACCCGGCAGGAGGGACCACTACCGCATTACTCTGTATAGCTTCAGCACCCAGAGCAAGGTTCAGGTCCAGACCTTGAGTCCAGATGCCCAGAACACCACCTGGAGTCACCTGGTGGCAGGCAGCAGGTTTGCTGTGCAGGTCACTGCTGTGAAAGGCTCGTTAGAAGCCTCATCTGCAAACGTCACCCAATGGACATGTGAGTCTAATGGGTTGGGTTGGACACAGTGCTCCCCTGTGCCCTAGAGCCTTCATCTGAGCTTTCCAGAGCACCCACCACCACCTTGCCCATCCCAAGTCATCTCCACTGTGCCCACAGCTTTTGCATAGTGGTCCCACTTTTCTGCTCACTGTCCTCACTCCATCCCTGACACAGAGCCAATCCCCCAACCTGACTCAGAGGCTCTGGGTATCTCCCCTGCCATATCCTGTGGCTGCAGACTGTGGGGATGCTGTACTCAGAGCCATGTGCCCTGTCTGCACATGTGTGCCCAGGCTTCTCTCCTGAGGATGTCTGGTCTGGCCTGCCCACTGCCCAGTGGGAGCCAAAAGCTGGAGCCCAGCACTACCCGAGCAGGAGGGTCCTTGGGCAGTCTCAGCATGGAGCACGAGCAGCAGCACATGAGGGCTGACTGTCTCCCTGTTGTTTTCCAGATCCCTTGGCACCTGTCAACCTCACCCTGGTCAGCCCCTTGGCCTCAGCACTGAGAGCCTCCTGGGCAGCAGTAGGGCAAAGGTCCGAAGGCTTCGTGGTGGACGTCTATGAGACAGCCTCTGGCACTCGTGTTGGGCACGTGGGGCTGGACAATGCTGCCAGGAGTCACATCTTCAGGAGCCTGAGCCCTGGCACCCACTACAGTGTGGCCGTGAGGGCCATAGCTGGACCCTTCCACAACAGCACCGCCAACCTCACCCACTGCACACGTGAGTGTGATGCTCTCCTTGCAGCCTGGGGCTCTCCACCAGACCTCGCCTTCCCAGTCAGCCACATTGGCACAGCCCTCCTGCCTTCCTCTCCCACCCATGCAAGCACCCAGGGCGTATTCCCTGCTGGATGCAGCATGAGGAGGCTGTGCACAATCCTGTGCCACCCCCGTCCCTGATAGCCATCCACAGCCTCAGGCAGTGACCAGGGCAG